TGAGTCAGAGTCTCACTCTGTCACTCAGGCTGGAGTGCAATGGCATAGTCTCAGCTCACTGCAACCTCTGCCTCCCAGGTTCAAGTAGTTCTCCTGCCTCAGCCTCCCAAGTATCTGGGACTAGAGGCACGCACCACTGCACCTGGCTAATTTTTGTATTTTTAGTAGAGACGGGGTTTCACTATGTTGGCCAGACTAGTTTCGAACTCCTGACCTCATGATCCACCTGCCTTGGCCATCCAAAGTGCTGGGATTACAGGCGTGAGCCACACCGCACCTGGCCTCAACTTTTTTTTTAATTTTTATTTTTTAGAGACAGGGTCTCACTCTCACCCAGGCTGAAGTGCAATGGTGAAATGGGAGAGTTTCCTGATGCTCCTTGCAGGATGTGCTACATACATATGGCTCACCTGTTCAGTTGCCTTGAAGCTCAAACCCGTAGAGGGAGCATGCAGACAAGCAGGTGCAGAGGCTGGGACGAGTGCTTTAGGTCCTCGGCCCCACAGTAGTGTCTAGGGGTGGGTGCCTGCAACCCCAGTGTTACAAAGCTCTTTCAGCTTTGCTGTCTGCAGTCAGCTTGTGTGTTAATTAGCTCAGTGGACCTTCTACCTTATCATAAGGGCAGAGGGCCAGTGTGACACCTCTCTGTATCCCAAGCTCTTGCCCAGTGTCACAGAAGAATCAGATCACACATGGAGTCAAAGGATGAATTTAAGGTTGTATGGAGTGGTGGAGATGGCTCTCAGCAAGATGAATGGGGAGCTAGAAGGTGGAGGGAGGGAGAAGATACTCCTCCCCTAGAGTTTGGCTGTTCTTGGCTGATGTTCAGATGCCTCTTCCCTCTGTCTCTGCCATGCTGCTCTGCTGCTCTCCTCCTCTTTCTGCCCGTCTGTCCCTCTGCTGCTCTCAGCATTCAGCCTGTTTGTGTGTGTGGTCACTAAGGTCTTGGGTTTATATGGGCACAGGATGGGGGCATGGTGGACCAGAGTGGTCCTAAAAAAACATCTAATCTTCATGCATGAAAACAGGAGTGCCTGTTTTCATTTAGGTCCATGAACACAGGCCCGAGGGTGGAGCCCTCACCAGGGACCACATCCTTCTCTACCCAGCACTTCCCTGCCCCTCCCGTATCAATAGATCACTGCTTCCTTGAGTGCCTGGGCTCACACAATCCTCCTGCTTCATTTCCTGAGTGGCGCTAAGTACAGGTGCATGCCACCACACCTACCTAATTAACATTTTGATTTTATAGAGATGGGGGTCTCACCATGTTATCCAGGCTGGTCTTGAACTCCTGGCTTCAAGT